GTTCTTACGACTGACGGCAAAATTTCGATCCACCTCATGCGCTATGGGCGTTTTATTTATTTTTTTTTTTTGAGTCTCTCCTATAGGAGCTTCAAAGTGCCCAGTTTCCTAAAGTTGAATTCATTTTGCTGCAAAAGTTGCCTTCTGGATTATGAGTTCATAAAGATGATGAGAGGTTCTTCTTTTCAGAAATGGATGAGTATGACATTGACGCCCAAGAAAATGCTCTCATTCATACATTGCCTTATGAAACAATGCGAGACTTGAGTAGAATATTAGATGGAGGAGAAGCATGGATCGAGCTGGGTGCGTTAATCATTTTTGAGGTTTTGGAATTCTTTGAAAGTTTATTTAGCCACTAGAATGCCCGACATCTCTACTCAAGATGTCGAGGGTTGTCGTCAATTTGGCGCTTCTCAGAAGGGGAGCCCATCGGAGTATTTATTGCGGATTTGGGCTAGCAAAGGATATTCAGTTCTAAGTCTATACAATCTTTTCGCATTGACTCGCATGGTTCGCTGTATGCGAATTATAAGGAGCTTAGGTCAGTCTTTTAGAAGAAATACGGCAGTGTATTCTTGAATGTTTTTTTAGTATCTGATTCTCATCACTATTTGGAAGATTATGCGCTCACAGCAGAGAGCGCTGACGAACCATCATCAAGTCAGAACTATCAGCAGTACACCAGAGGCCATCATGTAAGATAGGCGTCTTCCTCTTAGATTTAGATTTGCTCTATCTCCTTGAAAATGTTTCGATCAATACTTTTACCATAGAATCCTTTTGTAATCTGAAACCATCTATGGGCAAAAGAAGCACCAAAATCACGCTGAAGGGTGGAAATAGTACATTGAAAATCCGAAATTACAACGTGAAAAAATTCCGTTGAAATTGCGCATACAATTAAACAGACTGGAAGTTTAATTTTGTGAGCAACTATAACAGGTGGTTAGTATTAGTTGAACTCTAAAACACCAGCAGCAGCTGCAAATATCACAAGTCCTGTGACAGTTCACTTTAAAAGACGACTGCTAATATACATTTGGCTGACTGAAGGTTTCCCTTTGGTCATTCGACCGTTTAGGCTACAATATCATCAGTCAAACGTAGTGAACCTCAGCAACCGCTGCATCCTGCTAGTGTTTCAACGCAAAAATCTTCAACAGCAATGTCAACAAGTGACACCTCATCATCTGGGTATGCGAGATTTTTAGATGTTACTTGACTTTTTTTAAAGAGCCGGCTATACTTTTTTGATAGAAATATTCTTTCCTTTTTTATTGTCTTCATCTTATCTGCAGTCTTCCTTAGTTTCATTGTGAAAAGGTCATCAACTCAGCTTCTAAGCGAAAATGGACTTATACCGATTTCTTTTTTGCAGGAATATCTCGGATCCCATATGGTCAGCCCTACAAAATACCCTTACGGTCCCTTACGTCGAACTTATGGTGCGTGCATGTTTCTCCTCAAGCTATTTTCTGTTGAATCCTATTGTTATATGCTTTTCCATAATTCTGGCCGCAACTTCAAATTTCGCGGAAAAAAATGTATTGGGTAAAGGAGGCTATGGTGTAGTTTACGTGGGAGAATGGAAACACACTAAGATAGCTGTCAAGAGATTCATGGCTGGTGGGAATAAAGGGACTAACGTGGGTCACTTTTTCAACTGCCAACTTTTCAAAATAGTCAACTTTTTTTT